TTTCTTTCGGCTTAATGAAAGCATACAAAATGCTTATGAGTATTAAAAGAGCCTTTGATAGGATGCATGGGACCTCAGGATTCAGTAACTTCACAGTAGATTTTCCTCTACTAAACACATTTAAAAAAAACCCAAAGGGGGGAAATCCTAATGAATGATGGAAACTTGTGCAAATCTAGTAAAGTACAATGGATATTACTAACAGTTGCTAATACTACATAATTATCTTCTTTAGGTGTGAAGATAATAACCAAATACTTTGAAAATTTTCAAGATCTTCATATTTGATGCTAACTGAAGCAACCAAAACATACAATATAGTGACTTTTAAAATTGACTTATACACCATCCATAACATAAAACTGAAAACTTCTCTCTGGCTGACTGTATTAATTATGATACACTTTGAGTAACTGACAATTTACTATCCAATTTGCTTATCAAGTACCTACATCATAGACTCTCTTGAGGATGAAATACATTTGAAGCTCTTACAATGATGGTCAACATGCAGAAAATGCTAATACATTAGCATTACTTTTATTTAAGAAGATCCTTCTATTATAAAATTAAAATACTAATTATGCCATAGAAGTCTTGGAAAAGATACTATAAATTTTTTACTTATATAAAATGAGCTTTGGTAAACTTGCATATAGTTGTTAGAATTACATATTTTAGGAAAATTTATAAAGGGAATGTGATAGAGGAACCATTCTGTGTTCCCAGTACTTCTTATTGTTGGCCACAGAAGAGAAAGTATCCTGGTCTCTATGTAGTTTTCTGGTATCATGTAATAGTTCAGGCAAATAAAATGATTTTGTCTTCCATCTCTTCATTTGCCTTGACAACTCACTTTATCCTGCTGGGTTAGCAACAAGGAGACAAGCTAGGTCCAGGAGAAGGGAGTTGCTGACTGATTGCATTATACTTGAGCAAGAAAGAAACTGTAATCTTGTTCAGCCACTGTGGCTTTAGAGCTGCCTTGTATCTATACCACATAATACAGTGCAGTAATTCTCATCTCTGAAATCAATATGGGAAACCCTTATTACAGAGAGAATAAAGTGATTCAGGATCCTAACTAGTCTTAATAATAAAATATGAGTCTCTTAATAATAAAATATGAGTCACATATTAGCTGAAAGTTCAGAGAAGCAGAGCAGCCAGCCACTGGAGTTCTTACCTCTATGAAATCTCAGACGAAAAGGTTTGAGGTCCTGTCTATGTCTTGCCTTACCACTTCCTATCTCCTGTCTGTACAGACCTCCAGACCTCTATGGTTAACTAGTGACTACTTTCACCCTCTGATTTCCAGGCAAGCTTTACTTGTCAGACGAAAAACAAAATATCACTCAACAATAAAGTATTTTCTAAATATGCAAAAATTCTTCTGAATTATGCTATTGTTATGAACTTGTTGTTCAATGGATACATTAACATAATACTTTCATGCATGTATATATACATATATGTATATCCTTGATTAAAATAATATCAAAAAGGATTTCATATTAGTAACTTTTGTTAAATGATTTGTGGTAATTGGTTAATCATTTGTAAAATTATAAAGAGCTAGATACCTATTTCATCCTCCACATTAATTAATTCTAAATGGATTAAAAAATTTAAACTGTAAAGACAAAGCCACATTAATGACAATTTATCCCACTAAAAATGAAAAGAACTAAAAGCAACGTGAATAGAAAGTTCTCCAAAGACATACATGTGGCCTATATGTACATGAAAAGATGCTCAAATCATTAGTAATTAGTAGAAATGCAGAAACAAACCCTCAAGAACATCACCTCCTATCCATTATTATAGCTGTAAACAAAACAAAACAAAACAAAACAAAGAACAACATAAAACAGGGACTTCAAGATTTCCCAAGGATAAGGACACATGGGGGAAGTCTGAGCTCTTGAGTTTGATCACTGGAATCCACAGAGTTGAAGGACTCTTCAACTCTTACAAGATGTCCTCTGACCTCCACATGTACTGCATGACATGTATGTGTATGATATAGTGTGTATTTGTGCATATACACACAAGGCATGCACACACACATGAAATTTAAAAATGAATGTGTAATTATTTAAAATTAAAATCAGAAATTAACAAATATTGGTTAGCCTGTGGAGAAACTAGAACTGTCATACATTGCTGGTGGGATATGCTGAATAGTGTAGTGGCTACAGAAAATAGTTTGGCTGTTCCTCAAAAACTTACACATAAGAACATAATATAGCTGGGCAGTGGTGGGCCATGCCTTTAATCCCAGCACTCGGGGAGGCAGAGGCAGGCAGATCTCTGTTAAGTTCCAAGGTCAGCCTGGTCTACAGAGGTAGTTCCAGCACAGGCTCCGAAGCAATACAGAGAAACTCTGTCTTGAAAAACAAAAACAACAACAACAACAACAAAAAACACAATATAATTCAGTAATTCTATTTCTAGGTATTTATATGTACCAGAAGAACTGAAATCATGGGTCCAAAGACATGCTTGTATACAAATGTTCATAGCTGGATTATTTATACTATCCAAAGTTGTAAATGAGCTAAATTTCTAAAAGTTTAACAGATGAATAAATAATCAAAATGTGATGTATAATATAATGAGAAATCATTCAGCCATAAAAAGGAATAAAAATATATATTGAGGCAAAAGAATACTATATAAAAATACCTCCAAAACAATAGTTTGGGTATATGTATGTAAATGTGTGTGCTTGTGTATGTGGAAGCCATCAATAAATCTTAGGTGTCATTCCAGTTTGGGGATTTCTCACTGGGGTCTGATACTTGCTGAATATTTATGCTGGCTGGCCTCCAAGCACCCAGGGATCTGCCTAACTCTGCCTCTGTCACCAAGCCCAGATTTTACATGGATGGTAGGGATCTGAACTCAGGTCCTTATGTTTTCACAAGGAAGCACTTTACTGACTGAGCCTTCTCCCTGGGACAAGAGGGAATTTTTATAGTTTTTAATTAGTGGTGCCTTTGAATATGACACAAATAAATCATGATAAAGTTGAGTACTTAAGAATAAAATTACTTAAATACCAAAGCATGCCTCCCTATTAATAAATGTCAAACTGGGTAAAAGTTTTTTTAGGATATAACGAAGAATACATTTTTCAATGTGAAAAGACAACCCAGAAGTTAATAATAAGATAAATACTACTCATAGGAAAATGTAAAGCATGCTAGCAGTGAAGTTCCTAGAAAAGACAAAAAATAAACAAACAAATCACTAATTTATACATAACATTCTTGGTTGGAATCAATCTCACACACTCTTCAGTAGGGGATCATTAAAGCAAATTTGGTACAGACATACCATTTTGTTGTTTCTGAAAAGAATGGGGTAACTCTTGCTATACAGATATGCAAATTGTCCAAGGTGTACTTGGGCAATTTCTATAGAATTGACTTATGTGCATTTATTTGACAGAAAATTGCAATTAGTAAACATATGGTAAATAAGTGAAAAAGGCTGGACCTGGGAAGAAAAGAAGGGGAACTTTCACTTTTACACAGGATTTTTATGCAACTGTTAGAAATTTTAAATTATTAATACATCTCATAGCTTTTGTGATTTAAAAATTAGCTTATATTGTTTTAAAAATGACATCAGTGTTATCCCATGAGCCACTGTTTCATATCACCAAGCCTATTATGATCTTGCATGCTAGAATTGTAAACAGAATGGAAAAGTTTGGAATTGGGCAAACATTCAGATTCAAATCCTAGCTCTGTAATTCATGCAGACAAGACACTAAATTTCAGTGTGTCTACCTGTAAATAGGAGCAGTATTCACTTTGACAGACTCTCTATGAGGATTAGTCAAAAGGCCAGGCACACGAATCAGCACAGAATTACATCAACACTATCATTATTACTGCTGAATCATAAAAGATGTGATATTCCACTCACAATGAATCACTTTGCTTTTAGTTACCACTTCACCTTTCTCCTCCAGTGACCTGTGTCCTTCATGTCCAAATATTAACTACTTAGCAGACTGGTACCAGGTACTTTTCATGTGACCATGCTAATGATGACTGGAAGAATACTGGCACTAGCAATGAGCAGATAAGTGGGAACTCTGACCTATAATCTGGCTATCAATTACTGTATATGCATATACCAGAAGGCATGTAACAGAGTAGATATGAGAGAATATGAATACAATTGTTAGGAAAGCCAAGGGGGTTGTAATATAGGAAGTGATATTGCAATCTAAAACAGAAAAAAATAAACAAATCTCATAAATTTAGATACTCAATTCAGTTTGCACAACCAGGAATGTCACGTTATGTCACCATCATGTAGAGCGCATAAGACATGCACTAAATCAACAGAAATTCTAGAGTTTCATCAGCTTGGAGAGACCCAAGAGAAACTTGTAATAAATGGCTTTCTTAAATGCTCTTTCAAATGTATTATCTTGTTGAGCTCAGTGAAAATGACTAGAAGCTTTACCATGTGCTCTAACATCAAAATAAACAAGACAACTATAATTGCAGTGCTAAGAGTATAGGTATAGAATGGAAAACTTAGTATTGTGTGAAGCAACATGAACAGCTGAAGAGTTTCACTATTGGCATCATATATAGTCTTAGAAGTCCTGAAGGAGTGGAATGAAAAGCCCTTGAATAACCAAACATTTATGAGAAAACAATTATACTGTAGTACATTACTAACATATTATAATTTGAGGCAATTATACAGCAAAGGTATAGAAGACAAAGGGGATGATTTCACTGCTTCATGTGCATACCCTGTCATATTGATGAAGTAGTCATAATTGTAAAAAATGTCCTTTATGGCTCACTGGAATGGAAACAAGCTACTTAATTTATTTAAAAGACACACTCACATTTAAATCTTAGCTAATGAGTAAGACTATAGTAGTTTAAATAATAATATTTCTGCCATTGAGAAAAGGTTAGAATCATTTATAGTATTTTTTTCTGAATAAAAACAACAGTCACCTGCAACTGCCTTGCGATCTGGCAATCTTCCACTGCCAGATGCTTCTTGTGGGTACACACAACTGTAATTCATGCAGGTCAAAAATGTGTCTATTTGAGATGTATGGATATCTTCTGGAGAATACATAGGTAGGAATGCAACATCAATTGCAATCTCATGGTTCAAACCTGTGAATGAAAGAATACACATTATTAAATGTTCAGCAACTTAGCATATTTTGCTACTTTCAGTTTCCTGGGTTGATCCTAATGTGTGCTTAAAGGTCCGAGACCTGTAAAAAACCAGTTTACACACTGGGAACTAAACTTAAATTTATTTTGATAGGCTGCACCTTCTCACACCTATACACATTTTATCTCTGTATTAAGTTAAACCATTAAAGAGCAGAATTTATGGGTTATAAAATAACATGTTAAAATATACTAATTTTTGCTGGGAGGGGGGATTGGCAGTGCGCACCTTTAATCCCAGCACTTAGGAAGCAGAGGCAGGCAGATCTCTGAGTTCAAGGCTAGCCTGGTCTACAGAGCTAGTTCCAGGGCAGGCTCCAAAGCAATATAGAGAAACTCTTCCTCGAAAAAACAAACAAAAAAAGTACTAATTTGTGAGATTTATTTACATATGCCTCATTGTTATAGGTGATTGTGTAAATTAGAAGGTTATGGATGAAGATAAAGCTCATTTGCCAATGTGTTAATAATATAATAACTTTATATGGTATACTTATACTTAAAATTTGTTTGAATTAAAGAATATTCCAATATTTAATATTTGTTTTCTCTGGAACAAGAGTGGTTGAGACTGGGGGATTCTGTGTTTATTCCTGGCCTGCTTTCTGCCCAGCCTGAGACTTCAAACCATATAACTTTTTGTTAGCTCTAAAATTGAATATTCAGTCAAATAAATAAAAGACTATTCTTTCTCCATGCCAGAAGTTCAGGGAAAAATTATTGTCAAATGGTAGTAAATTGGTTATCTTTACAAACCTAGTTACACCTACATTCTATCCTTCCTTTAAAATTCATAAAGGTCTCATCTTTCATCTCTAAAGCATCCTTGAAAAGAGGTAAGATAACATTTATATAAAAATAGAACAGTTCTAACATTGACTCAATCTGGTGAGCAGAATGACAAATTTGTGTTCTTTATACCCTATTCTTGCTTTTAGCTGACTCATAGCCAAAGCTAATAAGAAGTGACAATTACATATGAGTCAGCTGAGACTTACAGTCAATCTGCTTCAATCAATCTGTAGCACATTAAAGGAGGAAAAACATTCAGTGTCTGTGTTTCTTTATGACTCTTTGATTCTGGTGTTACTTTATGTGACATATGGGAGATCTTGGCCTGGGTTTTGTTTCCTAGATATGAGAATAAGTTTGATAAAGTACCTGACGAGATCAAGCACCAGAGTCTAGTGATCTCTCATTATCCTTCACTATTTATACCTTGTACTCCATGTATGCATATGTACATGTGAGGAAATAGGAAAGAAGGGGCAGTAGGGAATAATGATGAAAAATAACACTGGTAAAAATTAGGGCCCTTCGTACTAATACATTAGATCAACAAAGAGTAGCCCTATCCATCATGGGTAAAGGAAAGCTCTATTAGTTCTCATTCTCATATCCCCCTCCCCCAAATTTCTAAAGACTTGGTAGTGTTGAGAAGCCAACAATCTGAACTTAATTTCAGAATTAGAGCTTCTCTCATTTAGTCTGAGCCAAACAGAATCTCCCCCATTGGACTTCTGTATGGGTGGGGGTGCTTCTGTTTTTTAACTTCTCACTATATTTAATAAATACATCAAATTATAAGTAAATAAACAAATAAATACAAGGAAAAACATTAAATTAATAGTATTCAAGAATAATAGAAAAGTAGTTCACCTACCTAGGATGGTTACTTCAAAATGTCCAAGGCTTCGGGCACTCTGAAATTCATCAAGTTTGGGTGGCCTTTCTTCAGGAGGTGTGTATTTTGATGGCTGAGAATTATACTGCTGGGCGAGAAACTTTCCATGCTCCAGAACAAATTTGCGAGGAATACTTTCAGGATATACATGACTGTAGTGGAGGTGGTCTCTCAAGCTGAACTTCTTATCTCTCCACAGCTGACTCTCCCATCTATCATACATGGATCTTCTGGACTTCCCTGAGGCACTAGAACTTGAACTTTCACGGCCTGTTCAAAACACAATGAGATAGGCACAATGGGCCCATAAACTAGCTAAACCAAGGCATTCACTAAATTAAAGAATATAGATTAGTGAGGGAGAGTTAAGTAGCTTTAAAATGAAATTTGACTATCTAAAAGATAATTCTTATTAAAGTTAGGATAGATGAGTCTGGAGTTATGGCTCAGTGGTTAAGAGCACTAGTTTTTGCAGACGACCTTGGTTCAATCCCCAACACTCACATAGTGGCTCACAACTGTCCACAACTCCAGTTCCTGGGGATCCAGCACCTTCTTCTGACCTATGCAAGCACCAGGCACATGTGTGTTGCAAACGACAAACATACAAGCAAAACACCCATATACATAAAATATATTCATCTTTTAAAAATGTGCAAAAGTTTTGAAAAAATTTCCAGAAAGAACTAAATTTGTTTTCTAAATAAATTTTCCTCCAAAATAATGAATGATGCAGTTTTCTCATTTGTTGGAATTATGTACATTTTAAATAATTTTCTTTATAATATTGCTATGTTTTTCAAATGCTCTTGAATAAAATGTTCCCTTTATTTTATGTAATGCAACCTTAGAGAAATCAAATTCTTTACAATGATAATATTCATTAACTTGTTTGTGTCAATAGCTTCAACTGTCAAGTTGATACAGCCCAGCATCATTTGAGGGCATCTCAAGTGGGAGACTGCCCAGATCAGACTTCTCTGCAGCCATATCTATGAGAAATTACCATGCCTAATAATTAATGTGATGGTTCAGGCTACTGTAGTTATCACTGTAGCCTGAATCCATTCCTAGGCTGTGAGTTAGCTTAGCAAGCCCCAAAGCAGCATTCCTTTATGCTCTCTGCTTCAGTTCCCACTTTCTGGTTCCTGCCTTTGGCTTCCCTCCAAGATGGTCTCTCACATGTAAGCCAAATGAATTCTTTTGTCCCATAAGTTGCTTTTGGTTAGTTTTTTATCTCAGCAACAGAGAAGCACACTAGAATAGTTTGTATTTTATAGAGAGTCTCACATAGTCCAGGCTATTAACTCAATACGCAACTAAAGCTTGCGCTGAACCTCTCTGAACATTCTGCCTTGGGTTCCTGAGGTCTGTGGTTGCAGGTATGTGCCACACCCAAGTAACTATGGAAACACTCATTATTGGTGGAAATCAAACCTAAAATAAAACTGTTCATTTCTTCTAAAAGTGATTTGAACAAACTACAACTTTTTCTTCTCAAATATGGGATGGGAGGGTGGTCGGGGGACATGGGAAGGAGGAAGGGAGAGTGAGGGAACTGGGATCAATTATGTAAAATAAGAAAAAAATTTATCTTACAAACAAATTTTACATTTAGTGTGTATTATACTCCTCCCAGACACAAATAATGTATGATAAAGGAGGAGGAAAATCAATTGAGATTAAAGATCTCACTACTTGGGCTGTTAAAATGGCTCTGCTGGTAAGGGTGGTTGCTGCTAGCCTGACAACCTAAGTTCAATAGTTCAATACCCCAGGACTCAACATGGTGGGAAGAGACAACTCTCAAAAATTATCCGTTGACCTCTACATGTGAGCTATGCTATACACACACACACACACACACACACACACACACACACACACACACACACACAATCAAATGTTAAAAGGAAGTCTTTACTCTTAGTCTTTATTTTTTATTTTAATTATTTTGTGTGCAATATATGCATGAGTTCATACAGTATATGTGTACAGAGGGCCAGAGGTTATGTTGAGTATTTTCTTACACTGCTCTTCACCTTATTTTTTGAGGCAGATTCTTTAACTGAACCTGAAAGTTACTGATTGCCTAGGCTGGCTGGCCGGCAACCTCCAGGTATCTGCATGTTTCTGTCTCTATTGCAGTGAAATTACAGGTATGTGCTTCTCTCCTTGGTTTTTTTAAGTGGGTGCTTGAGATCTGAGCTCAGCTTGTCAGACTTGCAGGACAAATGCCTTGTTGCATGAGCCATTTCTCTAGACTATTTGCCACTAAGAAGTCAATTTATTATTATGTACAATGAAACTTGTACATTTAGTTTCTAAAGGAGAATATAAGTTGTCCCTTATACATTATGACATTTGTTCAACAATTATTGTGTACCTATTGTGCTAAGGAATTTGGTACAACTAATATTTTGATTGAGTATCACACCTTGGGGAGTAAAGAAACATCCATGCCAAAATCAGAACAAAAGAAAAAAATAAATAGATTTACAAATAAGACTCGAGCCAGGTGGTGGTGTTGCATGCCTTTAATCTCAGCACTTGGGAGGCAGAGGCAGGTGGATCTTTGTGAGTTGGAGGCCAGCCTGGTATACAATACTACACAGAGAAACCCTGTCATGAAAAACAACAACAAAAACAACAAAAGGCTCTCATGTTGCCAGTTCTACTAACTAACACAAGTTCTGTGCAACTGAACTTTGAAGTTAACCAAGTTTGCCAAGTTGCTTTTTTGCAATTGTTTGTCATGCTGTTGATTCCTGTTCTAGCATAAGAAACCTTGATGAGACAGAGCAAGAAGGCTTCACCATGGTTAATATACCACTCTTGGCATTTCGGATTTTATCCTTTATCCAAATCCATAAACCAACCACAGTGCATGGTTTCTTAAGAGTAGCCATGTTCAAAGATAGCATCAAAAGGGAACGTACAGAAACGGAACACATAGTTCTATCAATCAGGAACCTAAAACACTACAGTGCCACAAGAGTTATTTTAAATTCATATCAAGCTGATAAATGTTCCTATGATGATGATTGATATTAAAATGGATAAACAAATAACCCACACATGAAAAGAAAGGAATATACTCCAATACAAGTAAACAGGCTTAAACAGAAGGCTGAGAACAAATTTTATTTTTTAATTTCCTATAAATAAAACCCTTTTATTTAAGCTAACAAAACAGCAGAAAGTAGTTGAGTATAGTGGCACAAGCCTATAATCTTAGCATGTAAAAAACTGAAAGCAGAGCCATGAGAATTGTGACTTAGAAACACAGGTAGGCTATGTTAGTGAGACATTGTATAAAAGAAACAGATGAACAGCAGCAAGCAACAAATAACTACTCAATGACACAAACTGTAGTGAGGTAGTCCTTCTGTAGTACTGACCACGCCCATTGGGGGGTGGAGCGATGGGCGGAGGTGACCTGAGGAAGGAGGTCGGAGGGGGCCAGGAAGGCGCTCTCTCTTTCTGGCATGCCTCGGACAGGAGAGGATCGGGTTGAATTTCCTGGTGTTCATCTGTCTAGGTTGTAAGTTATTTCTCCCTGAATAAACATCTATTCGGCCTATTTGTTTATCCTGATCCTTATTTACCGCAATATCTGGTGTCAGAAGCGGGATTTACCTGGGTTTGCCCCCAGGCGGCAGAAGCCGCCCCCCTCCCCCACCTTCCCCAACGGGCAGGGTTTAACCAGGTGGACTCACCACAGCTTTGGGACATTTGCCTCTTCCTTACTGCAAAGGAGATCTTTGTCGCTAAAGCAGAACTGAGAAGGCACTTATCGCTTAACATTTTTTGCCCATTTCTGCCCGGGACTTTGCATTTGCGCAGAGCCTCTTGGCGGCACCCACCCAGCGGCACCTGCCCAGCGGCACCCGCCCGGCTTGCACGCGTTTCGTCTTGTGTTACAAGTAACTCCAAAAGTCCCCTTTTAACAAAATTCTGCTTGCCATAGTTTGTTAAGAACTTTTTACAGGAACCAGGATCAGACGAGCCTCGGCGGCTAGGTGCTATTTGGTGACACACCTCCAGGCGTAGCTACCACAAGCTGAGATATACAACTAAAAGCATCAAAGTTCCAGGACAGCAGAATTACACCTAAGGTAATTGTAACATCCTTTGCAATTTAAGCTGATATAAAATCTGAGATAAATTGTTCCATAACTATGGCAGATAATTTTACTATGCAGAACTTTAGGAATTATTTTACTTCATATGTAGAAGGGATTTTAGCAGAAGAAACTTATGACTGGACCAATATATACTTTATTTTGTAATAGCAATGGGTTTCATCATTAACATGATATTCTTAAAGAAATGGTTTGAGATTACAGCAAACAATAAGGAACTTGTACAAACCATGGGAGACTTAGTAACAAAGATTCGAAACATTGAAAATGATAGAATTCAAAACATAGAGACAAAGATTCGAAACATTGAAAATGGTAGAATTCAAAGCATAGAAAATATAGAAAGAAAGGTTCAGAATATTGAAGATGGCGTTGGCGAGCTGAAAGGTATAATTTGTTTCATGTCAGATACCTCAATAACCAGAACAGAAACAATGCAATGCATTAACAAACTAGCAGACACAGCCCACTCCTGGTCGGAGGAAGCTACTAATAAGTTTAAAAAACTGGAACATCAGATAGAAAGACTAGATGACAGAATCTCTTCCATGTCTGAGGATAATGGCAAGCTAGCAGATAGAACATTGTTTCTGGAAGGCAGTTTACACGCCATTCAGATAATATCTAAGGATGATAAGATTAAAAACATGGAATCATTTGTAGTTGGAGAAAGTAAGAAACTGACTGATGCAATGAAGTCTCTAGAAAGTTATTTGATTCAAGAAGTTCTGACACTCATAGAAACAATGGTGAATAGATTTCAGGCTTTAGAAGACCTTCAGTCTGATACATCAGAATAAGAACTACAGGTAACAGGGCATGAAAAAGATTTAAAATTTTCCACACCATTTAGGGTCAGGGGAGCTTTCCCTGTATCTATTCATGAAAAGCCAGCAACGAAGAAACATCCAAAAGATGTCGTTGCATATCAGTGGGAACCAATACGTATGAAAGATTTAAAAGGTATAAAGGAAGCAGTAGTCTCTTATGGCATGCACTCACCTTATGTGAAGCAATTAGTAGAATCATGTGCATGGAATAACAAGGTAACCCCTAAGGATTGGGATCAATTAATATCAGCTGTCCTTGAAAGCTCCTCTCAAATAGAATGGAGGGCTTTATGGA